GCTTTTATCTGACACAGCTCTGCTTTTATCTGACACAGAGTTCTGTGTTCCTAACAGTGAACAGTCAGTGATATACAGTATGGTCTTCAGGTACTCATGAGTGCCTGTTCATGCCCTGTGTTTCCCAGTTTTCGTTGCCTTGCTCTGTTGTACTGGAGGATGTTTCGCCTGAAGAAGGACCATGCCATGAGATACTCCAAGGCTCTTCTCGACTACTTCAAGGTACATCCCTGAGTGCCCATGGAAACGTGCACCGTCGGGTCACGGACGCTTCAGGGCATTTAGTGTGTTCCCACAGTGTAAAATCGCCAATGCGGCGTACTCTTGTTGTCTATGGGACAGCGCTCCTCACTGTCAACCAGTTAACCTTGTAAGAATCTCACAAGACATGGAGCTCAAATTAATGGAATTTGTTTACAAATATGTGTCTTGTGCATTTCTTTTATGATAAAATTTTATCACAGTATTCTAATACTTTTTCACTCTGGACCTTTATTAATAATATTCTTGATTTTTCTGCCTTAGGTTCTGGCCAGGTATGCAGGAATTGCTTTGTTCTGGTAATCTGGAATGGCGTTTTGTTCTGACCTGGTTTTGCTTTCTTCCCACAGAACTCCCCCAAAGCTGTGCACACGCCTTCTCCGTGGAGTGGAAAGTAAGGTTGCCATTCACTCTGGGTAGTGTTCACTTTCTTAGTATTCGGAGGCTTTCCTGTGACATACATCTTCTTGCATGTTTGAAACTCCGACCTGACAAAGCCACACAAGAGCAGATCCACATATAATTTCAATTGAGAAAGACAACAGACGAAAAGTAAAAACTCAGAAATCATATAGCATCATTCATTATAGAATATATGTAATGTAAATTATTCATTTCAAGAATGTGAATTTGTAAAGAAAACATGAAAGCTACTGATCATTAAGCCTCATTTATAAAAAAAAACTATTAACATATTACAGATTGTTAAGCAATGTTTATCAATAGATACCCAGACAGACAGAGATTGTGTAGTTTCTCACGGATATTCAGAAGAATCCTTGGAAATGTATTGTTATGCCTGTTTTGTGTCTTTTGGACCTATGTGCTCTTGTCAGGTTATAGTACAAATCAAACCACTTGGTTTGGTTTTGCTCCAACTAAATGCTTATTGAATTCAGCCATAGAGAGATGATTAAGCCAACCAAGACCATACAGTACCACCTCCTGGGTCAAACAGTGAGCTAATTAGCCAAGTTATTCATTTCAGTTTACCTGATGTTTGCCCAGAGGGATAATGATGTACAGTGCGTGGGAAGGCAATATTTGTAAAACTCCAGCTTTGAGGACTTAAGGCATCCTGTAACCACAATAGGTAGAGATGACAAAGACAGGTTGTAAGGTTAAATATCTCCATCCAGCAAAAACATCTAAATAAACATTTAAATATTACTGATAAATGTAAGGAATTGTGTGGGGAAGGATATCAGAGCTCAGTCCTATCCTCAGTAAGGCAGTATGGTTGTGACCATGCACAGCATTTCAACATGTCCCTTGTCCTAGTTTTGAGGCTGTTCATCCAGTGGATTCATTTAATAGACTTCTCAAGAAACTGTCCAACACCAGTACAGCAGAAGAGAATGGAGAGGGGTGTGTGAGGGTGTACTTTCATTTCACAAGCAGAGTCCTAACACCGCAAAACACCAAAATCATTCCTGATTTTAAGAAGGGGGGGCGTATTGTTGATATCACCAGCCACAGGAACTGGTGAGAGATCGCAGAACAATACAATACAAATTACGAATTGCTGTTAGACGGGAACCCTAAGGCCAAAAGCAAACCAAGCTAAAACAGACACGCAGATTGACAATCGGTGTATCGCAGCATCACTGAAAACAGTCGAATGTCGCACATGTAAACGAGGACAGCAGGACGACGTACACTTGTACTAATACGTCTGCAGCACCCTGTTCCAGCCGCAGGGCACCATGGGAAGACGCTGGCTCCTGCCGCTACTGCCCTTGTGCCCATCTCCGGCGTGAGTCCGGTTCCCACGCGGCTGGCCGTGCAGGGGCGTCTCCACCGTCTCGGCGCCGACCAGCACAGTGAGCTGAGGGGCTGCCCCCACTCTGTTCTCTGTCAGCAGGAGTGTGGGCGCCCCCTCCCCACTGTCCCCCTCGCCCTCCCCCTTCGGCTCCCAGGGCTCCCAGGGCAGCAGCGCCGCCAACTCCCTCATCAGCATCCCCCAGCGCATCCACCAGATGGCAGCAAACCACCTCAACATCACCAACAGCGTCCTCTACAGCTACGAATACTGGGAGGTGGCAGACAACCTGGCCAAGGAGAACAGAGGTCAGAGCCCTGCAGCGCCGTTTTTCCCCAGACAGACGTGTGCACACATGGGCCAAGGCTGAGCTCTGGCTACTAGGGCTGTGAGCACAGGGGGCTTTAAAGATTTGTCAGGAAGGGACTGAGGGAGCTGAGGGCACACTAACTGTAGAGGTTTAAAGGCTTCAGCCCAACAATGTAGTTCTAGGAGAGTTTTATTTCATTTTAATATATGTATTATAGCAATTTGGAATTTTACAACTCTTGAGAGGCAGACCTGTTTGAGGGTGAAAAAGCAGTTAGTGGAGGCTAACCTTGACTTTGTGCGAATGCAGGCGCCGACTGGCCCCAGTTGGACCGGACTGACTGGACATGTTACCTCTAAACTGAAACAAACCACCATGTAAAAAACAAAGCAGAATCGCACTGTTGATTTATATTACTGTTGTCAGCCAAAGGCTGCCCTGCCCAGATGGTCAGGATTGCTGATCCTCATTACTGACTTCTTGCAAGGAGTATGAGCAAATTAGGAAGATCTATGAATCAACAGAGGGCAGCCAGCAAATTTGCAAATGGGGGTAATTAGCAAATAAGCACAGTAAAATTAAGATATAGTGCAAATGGGAAATCTTTAAGATGTCATTATTTTTGGTATAACAATATATTTACCTTAATAGTGCCCTAGTGAAAATTAAGCATCATCTTCTTTTTAGCAAACAACCACTGTTCAATTTAAGGGTTTTTAATTTGAGGTGACAAATCTATCCTGACTACACACATCCACTTGATATGCGGGTGGTTATTTCCTCTGTATGCTCAAGGTTCTGCACCTCAGCGCCCTGAATCGCAAGAGCTGTTTAATAGTCATACCCATAAAACACTGTGTGGGGCAAATTTAAGAAGAACAAACTGTTTTGTTTTCGGTTTTGGGAACTTCAGCAGGAGTTTAGCTTTGTTTGTTTTCTGGAATTATATACCTTGGGCTTGCAGCCTGTCAGTGAAAGCTGTTGGGAAGCCTGGTCTGTTCTTTAGCACAGGCTCATTCGGCCACCTGTCTGTCTTCCAGAGTTCTTTAACTACCTGAACACGCTGATCGGACCCCTGACTCTGCACAGCAGCATGGCGCACATTGTGCAGTACACCAGACAAGGACTGCAGTGGATCCGGCTCCACGCTCGCCAGTCTTAGCCGGCGCCCCTGCGTCCCCACACGCCCCTCTCGAGACTCGAAACGGGACGGCAATGAGACATTCCTGACACTGGGGCGCTGACACCCTGTTCTTCGGCGGGGTAGAAATACCCGCTGGGTCCCTCGAGTTCCTCTTCTCTCTGTTGCGAAGATGCCTGTTCTTGACGATGCAGAACAACGGAGGGGAAGGGGAGCTGGGAGTGGATCCGTCTCGTTTTCCCACAAGTGGCCTTTAAAAACACGTCAAGGGCAAGACGAGAGAAACCGGCCAAGTGCATCTTGCCAGCCGTTGGGATGGTTCTGAATATTCAGGGAGGGCCCGCCTCTCGAGGTTTCTTTCCTCCGGTGCTGTACTGACTACCTATCTGAACCCCTTCTGACTTTCACAGATATGCACAGATTTCATAAAACGCCTAATGAAGCTGGCGCTGGTTAGTTTTGAATATCTATACTTTGACACACACTTCCAGAGTTGATGAAATGTTACAGTTTTTGAAAAAAGAAACCCCACATGTGCTTTTTTTGGTTTTGACTGCTCGTCTGGTATGTATGGGGTCTGTACGGAGAACAGGCAGAGGTTCCAGTACGGGACGCTGAACTGATGCTTTGTTAGAAACAGGTTGGTTAGAAGGACAAAGAGTTGTCATTGAGGTGGCCTCTCAACGCTGGAAATGTGATTACATGTCCGTGAAGAAGGCGACAAGCAAAGAAAATGTGTGTGTTTTAATATCCTCCTCTGCTTTGGGATTTTATTGATAGCTAGTAAATCTCTGCTTTTGTGAAAGTGCTCGTAGAGGCTGTGTTCGGGATTCCTGAGAGATCAAGCCCTCATGTTGCCAAACAGCAACACCTGGGAGCTGACAGCGCTCTCAGAAAGAGCTGCGTCAGACATCCATCTAGAGACAGGCAAAAACCGGCCGCATTTCTGGAGACAATGCAGAGAACGCCTGCTCCCTCGGGCCGCCTGCTGTACAACGTCATTTCTTGAGAACCGCAGGTCTCGAATTCGGGAGTGCACAAGAATGGGTCTCTCTTACAAGAAACATCTTCAATTCACTGATTCAGGATGAAAATGCATCTCCTTTAGAAAATGTCCCCCGTTAAAGGGGAATAACTACATCCTTGAAGATGTCTTACAGTAGGTGTGCATTAAAGACCATAACCCTAATCTTACCCTACCTCTATCCACATAAACCTCAACCTCTTTAGTATTGTACTGCCTAATGTTTGAAAATTTAGGAAACTAGAAAATTAGGAAACACGTTCTGTTACCGGGGTATTTATCCAATACCTCTCTCTTGAGAATGAGACAAAGGGTTCTGGCACCTTCAGAAGAAAATGAGACAGAACTCAGGCTGTGGACCATGACCACTTCAGGGACACTGCAGACAGACGGGAAGGACTCAAGTGATCTTCTGCAGGGACTGCCTCAGAAAAGAGGGGTAGGTCAGTTTGCCCGGTCTTGATGGAGCACATCGATGTTGTGTGAATTCATGCGCCAGCCCTCTTGCTGTCTGAGTGTCTGTTCGCCACCATCACTCTCTTGTCACACTTCAACAAGGCCACAGAAGCAGCCTGGAGCACTATATCCTTATCAGGGTGGCTGGTAGGACAGACAAGGAGCAGCTTTTTATTAAAATCAGTGTGTTGATTTATGGCCAAAATGTAGGCATTCTAATGTTGTATAGATTGAGGAAAGTGGAATTTGTTGTTCTTTTTTAAGGTTGTAACGGTTGAAGATTACATTTCTGAAGGAAAAGAAAACGTTGGAAAACAGTGCAATACTCACAAAAATCTAATCTTTCTCAAGGGAACTTTTTTTAAACAAAAAAAAGGGTTTGGAAATCTAATGTTTTTGGCAATGTGAAAAACTGTATTCAGTCATGTTTTAATTCTATGCAAACGTTTGCCGATATTGTTTTATATGTTATTTATATTTTCCAGCGACAGTACAGACTGCTGTAATTAAACACATTTCAAGTGCTCTATTTGTATTTCGTGTTGCCTTTGGATTGGTTTGTAATGACACCTAGTGGTACTTCTGGTTTATACAAGTAAAGCTCCACAACGCATAGTCGCTTGCTTTTTAAGCCTTTTTACGCACTGCGTCCTTGATGATTTATCTCACAAAATCCGTGTTTAGTCTTCATTTATTTTATTTTTTCAGTTTTATACATTATGAGAAAGCAGTGGGGCAAATTAAAGGTCTGGTTTTCCACTAAAGAGGCCTGTATTTAGGAAACGAGCAGTGGCTCTTTTTCGGCCATTCACCTTGTTAATACACCCGTACACACGTGAGGTTTGGCTCCTGTGCTCGAGTCTCCTGCAGCGTGTAGCTTTCATTTCATTCTTGCAGTCATACTGCAAGAGAAGCCAGATTTGACAGCTCTATTATTATGGCTAATGCCTACAGAAGGGGATAATTTTCAAATGAGTATAGAAAAATCCTCAAGGCCGCTTACAGAGTCTACACCTCAGACTTATGTCCAATGAACAGTGGCATATGAACCGGCACAAGTGGAAACAAGATGGAAGGATTGTGGGAGTCTGGAATTAGCTTCTCAGCTGCGTTGTTGAAGCCGATACCCACTGAAACGGATCGCTTGTATCCCTAATACAGTACTTAAAAGTTTGACATATTGTTTCTTTCGCAGCGATTTACATAAATTCCGTAGCATGATGACTTTTTTTTTATCCACCACATGAAAAATTACAGCAGTTCACCCCCGTTCACGCAGGGTGAGCACAGCTTTGGGGGAGTTTGGGGAGAGGGCTCAAGGCAGCGGAACACGGTACGCATCGGCCGCGGCTCTTCCTGTACTTCCAGCTCTGACGTCTAAGACAGTTAAACTGCCTTGTTGATCTGTAAATGCGAGCTCTCCTTTGTGAGCCACTGCGTAACGGATTTGCAAAAGCAACTTTCAGTGCAGGAAAAAAAAAACCGCGTTAAAATCATTCTCTCTCGCTATTTTCTGCTTTCCCTTCTCTCTCTTCTTCCCACCCTCTCCGCCAGCCCTTCAATCGCTCTTGTACTCAGCGGCCAATATGGAGCCAGCAACATCCCAGGCTCCATCACAAGCCGTGTGCTACCATGGCAACAGAAGAGCGGGTCGGCCAATCAGGTGAGAGCCATGAGGTCTGACAGATGTCATAAACTCGCTGCAGAGCCGCAGAGAAACACAGCCGCTCCAGATACAGACGCTGTTGCTCCAGCGGCACACGCCCAATGCACCGCTCACTTTCTGTCTGCAAAAGGTCTGTTAATCATCTGGTGCTGTACGCGCGCACTACAGGTTATGCTGTTCATTTCTCCTGTGTTCTTTGTTCATTTAATCTAGGCGTCCTAGCTCAGGAATTATCCAGACAAACCCTATTTTAGATACAGTATATAACCAAAGCAGACTGTACTGGTGCAGAAAGACTACATTGGTTAAAATAATTACTATCCATATTGCACAGAAAATCACGTAATTATGGATAAATAACCCATTGTGGTCCCTTTATTTTCTATTAGCTCCTTGGTAAGAATATTTTTAAGAAGCTTTATGTGATGGCTCAAAGTTTCAGGGATTCATGTGAGGCCTCTATTTTGATATACAGGCCAATCTATATTCTGAAATATACATCAGGACATTTGGGATAGTTCTGGGTCTTTGTCCTCTGCCTTAATTAAACGAATTGGGAAAGTCAGGCATTTTCCCAACATTTTTTACATTTAGGACCCAGATTTTAAGTCAAATTTGGGATCCGGCCATCAATGGCCAATCCCAGGCCTTTGCTGTCCTTCCGTGGAAAGGTGCTCTCGGGGAGGAGGTTGGAATTTGGATAGGGGAAGACAGGCCGGTGTACACATCGGAGTCCTACCTGGAGGGTTTGGAGCAGATATTCAGTGACAGCACAGCGCCGGCGCTCGCAGAGAAGCTGCTGACAATGACACAGGAGGAAAGGAGGCAACCGGGAGGAGCAGATGGTAATACCAGTTATCCAGATGTGTCAGACTCCAGATGTGGGAGACCGGGGTTGTCTGGTTACATCCATCCATTTCCCAACCTCTTTATCCAGTAAAGGGCCGAGGGGAGCTGGAGCCTATTTTGGCAGGAGACGGGCGTAAGGCGGGATGGGAAGACACACTCACTGGGATGGCATCATCGAGTTCTTATTCCAAATTAGTCACTCATTTACCTAAGAATTATTCTCCCACAGATTTATCTAAAGTGGGAGACAATGCAAATGCTCATATGCTTCATTAAAGGGAGTTACCTATAAAACAGATCCTGGTGAGAAGTGTTCAAATTGTCTAGGCACAAGTAAAGGAAAAGATAGGTTTGAGCAGAGAGCCGTGTCAGCGTTGGGCACGAGGGAACAAGTATGCTTTCATTCAGTTTAGAGAAGGCCCCACACCTGAAGAAGGCTCACCAGCCAAAACACTTCTTTTCTTATACTGTTCACTGCAAAATGGGCATTTATTTCTTCCTTTGCAGCTGACACAC